CCCCATGAGGTAGGATTATTGAAACTGAGGCTCAGAGAACTTAAGTGATCTGTTTAAATTCATCTAGGCTGGAAGTAGTAAAATTGAGATTCAAACTCTGTGTTATTGACTACAAATTATGCTACCTTACTTAACAATGTGTGTGCAGTAATTTAATCAACTAAGGTTTCCTCTAATTCTCTGATATTTTTCCCACAAGAGAAAATACTTTAGTTAGAAGTAATTCTTAGTAATTTCTACTTTGGTGACATGTGTATGCAGTATTTGACTGGTGGATGACTGAGGCCTGAGAGTCAGTCAGTGGTGCTCTCTGAAGGGAACAGGTGATATTCTAGTAAATTTACTTCGGGAGAGAAACTTCTTTATATTCACAAAGCCTTGAAAATCAGAGGGGGGTGGGGGTATTGATGGGGAAGGCATTGGGCAAAAAGGAGAGAAGGTAAGGAGTGGCCACCAAAACAAAAACACAGGAATTGACTGACATCAATTTCCTATCTCATTTCATAGAAAACTCCCACAAGTCAGGGATGGGATTTGAAGCAATGCATTAGCCTTTCACCCACCCGGCAAACGGAGTGTCACCATCCTCTAAATGGGTAATCTAAACCTCCAGGAACTCACTTTCAGGCCTCTCTTCCAAAGTTGGGCTGGTTATGTCTCCTGCTCGACCTTTCCAAGATGGCAGGACAGTGGTTAAAGGGAGACACAGGAAAGGTGAAGCAATAATGAGAGAAATGAGTGTTGGGATATAGAAACCTCTAGGTAGCTAAAAAGAGCCTACCCCTGACCCTGGCCCTGTGACCACCATAATGAACACCTGCTTTTCAATGGGCTGTTCTTGGCAACTGTGAAAACTATTATTTATATTGTATTAAATAAAAAATAAATGATAATATAAAATCCCTAAAATTAGAAATGTGAAAAGAGGAAAACAACGTCCTAAATAACAAAATACCTCACTTTCAACTTCCAAAGCCTTTTGTATAGTATTATTATTAGATGTCAATTCCTTTCTCCTTTCTCTCTCCTCTGACAACTCACTTATAAATATTTCAATGTTTTCTTGGCTCATTTTCAATATCTGCAAAAGAATTTTTGTATAAGTAATCTTATATATAATAATGTTTCTATAAATTCTGATAATCAAAAAATTATCTGCCTAATTCAATTATACAGTCATCTTGGGGAGATAGAAAGCTAAGAAAAATAGTTCATGGTATCATAGCTCATAAAATACACTTTTTTCTCTCTAAGCCTGTTTTCTCAACAATAAAATGGAGTTAATATTCACCCTATGTACATTAGAGCCATCAGGTAACAGTAAAATGAGATTTTGAAAGTATTTTGTATATTTTAAGTACCCACCAAATATAAGGTATGTTGAAATCTTACTGAATTGATGATAATTGCAAAAATGTTGTCAGTTACCGTTTATTTAGTGCTTACCAAATGTCAGGCATTATGGTAAATGCTTTACATGCATTATCTCATTTTGTTTTCCCAGTATTCCTATGGGACTACTATTACGTTATTTTAATAGAGAACATAGATGAGGCTCAGATATATTAGATGCTTTGCCCAAAGATATAAAGCCAACACTGGGATTCAAACCAAGTCTAACTTATAAACCCTTGTTTTATTTTACTTTTATTGAATTTTTGACATATGAATAATTGACATATAACATTATATTAGCAGTGTACAAGTTCACAGGGAAGGATATGTTCTACCCCAGAGCAGCCTCTCCTTCTTTACCAGCCACCATTGCAGTGGAAAGCGTTTTTGTATATTCACACATGTCATGTTGATGCATTCGACACCCAAGACCCTACCCTTATAGCATCTGAGATGCCTCAGTACCAAGTGCAAGAAACATTTCAACTCAAAAATTAAAACCCCTCTTACGTCCTTTGTGTTTTGTCAATAAAAGAATGTCATGTATTTTAATACCATAACTTAAAAAATAAATATGTATATGAAATTTATCATCACCATAGAATATTAAATCTAGTTATGTAGTTAGGCAAATTATGCACTTCTTAACTCTGGCGACCAAAGTTTAAAACAGAAAAACACAGGAAAGGTGAAGCAAATAATGAGAGAAATGAGTGTTAGGATATAGAAACCTCTGGATAGCTAAAGAGAGCCTACCTCACCTGTCAGCCAGCAGTAAACAAGGAGGAGGACTAATGGACTTGCTAGACTAGCCTCATTGGCATGGGCTAGTGGCCAAAGACTCTGGAGAACTGTGTAACAGTTCAGAATTTTCCACGATCAGTGTTCTACTATCTGAAAGGTAGGCATCATCTTATGCTCTGAACCAAACTGTATCTCCCTGACACAGTATGGTATGAGAATTGTTACTGCCACCCCCCTATTTGCTTGCATTGGGCTCTACCCCATCACAGGCACAGTTAAAGAGATGGGATGGCAAATGCAGGCTAGTAGAGAATAAAATACTGTGCAGTCATCACGTCCAGGTAGAGATGGTTTATGTGCTCCGGGCAGCGCATGCCATTACCTCCACAAATTATAATAAATCCCTAATATAAATCCTCACAAGAGTTGCTATGTTATAGTAAGTGAGCTCTGGGGCCAGACAAACCCGAATCAATTCCTGGCTCTGCTTCTATACTTTGGTCAAGTTCCTATAAATTCTCTCAAATATGAACTAGCAATACTCTACTTACCTTAAAAAGGACTGTTACAGAGATTACATGAGGTTGCGTTTATAAAACACCTAGAACAGATCATGATGTATGACAGATGACCAAAATGTTGTGGCTATTATTATTCCTGCCAGGTACCTAACATTTCTTATATTTTAAGCATTTTTTTTTTTCTGAGGACAGGCATACTAGCAGTGAGATGGTCTACTTACTGTTAAATCTGTCTACATATAGAAATGGGTAAGAAACATAGTCATATCTTGAGGAGCGTACTTGAGTTAAGGAAGTACTTTTCTTAATTATTTGTCCTTTTTAAGTCACAGGGCTGCCCCGCCTATCTCCCCCCCCCCCCCCCCCCCCCCCCCCGTTTTTAAAATAATTCTTGTGAGGAAACTGTCTGCCGAGTGCCCAAAAGTGCAGAAGTGGAGGCTTCTCTGGTTTCAGTGAGGTAGTAGACCTAGAGATTTGCATCCGTGGAACAGCAAGAATTCCCTGAAAATCAAGGTGGCAAAAACATGGGTTTTGTAGTCATTTAGATTTGAAATCTTGACTTCCACTTTTATGAATTTGTGATCTTAGCTTTCTCATCTGTAAAGCAGGGTGAACAATACCTACCCCTCAGCGTTTCTGTTAACATTCAATGAGTTATGGCAAATCCCCAGCAGTAAAGTCACTACAACATTAGTTTTCATTCTTTTTCTTCCTTTTTATAGGAAACCAAAAATAAAGTAGTCAGAGAAAATGACCTCATCCTAACTTTGCAAAGACCCTATTTTCAAATTAGGTCTCATTCACAGGTACTGGGTTAGGACTTTAACATATTTGGGGGGTGGACCACAATTTAGTTTATAACAGAGACCAATAAACAGAATATATAGAGAGCTCTTGCAACTTAACAATAAAAAGGCCAACTCCAATAAAAATTGGCAATGACTTCAAGACATTTTCCAAAGAAGATATATAAATGGTCAATAAACACATGAAAAAGATGCTTAATATCATGTCATTCAAGAAATGCAAATCAAAACTACATTGATATAGTACCTCACACCCAACAGAATGGCTATAAGAAAGATAGAATATATCAAATGTTGAATATGTCGAGAAATTGGAACTCTCAGACACTGCTGATAAATGGTGCAGCTCCTTATGGAAAATAGCTTGGCAGTTCTTCAAGAGGTTAAACGCAGAGTTAACATATGACCCAAATATCCCACTCTACGTACATACTCAAGAGAAATGAAAACATTTTCACACAAAAGCTTGTATATGAATGCTCATAGCAGCATTATTCATAACCACCACAGAGTGGAAACTACCAAATAAATACTATCTATTGATGAGTAGAAAGATAAAATGTATATATTCACTTAACAGAATATTATTCTGCCACAGAAAGGGATAAAGTACTGATTTATGCTACAATATGGTTTTATTTTGAAAACACTATGCTAACTGAAAGAAGCCAGATGCAAAAGACACATATTGTATGATTCCATTTATATGAAATGTACAGGACAGGCAAATTCATTGAGACACAAAGTAGATTAGTGGTTGCCAAGGGGTTGAGGGCATGGGGGTATGGGAAATGGCTACTAATAAGAATGGGGTTTTTTTTAGGGTGCTGAAAATATTCTAGAATTAGATAAATATTCCAGAATCATGCAACCTTATGCAATTTTTTATACTAAAAATCATTGAACTGTGTATTTTATTTTAAAAAATATTTTTATTGATTTCAGAGAGGAAGGGAGAAGGAAAGAGAGATAGAAACATCAATGATGAGAATCATTGTTTGGCTGCCTTCTTCATGCCCCACTATTTTCTTTAAAGAAACAACCCATTATATTCTTCATATTAGTTGTTCCCTGTGGAAAAGAAATGTACAGAAACACAGACTCTAAACCTCAATTTCTTCCTAAAATCCAATTGGCTGAGCAATAGAAAAAGACAAGGGACAAGAAGAAAGTATTATAGCAGCCTGGCTGATGTGGCTCCATGGTTAAGTGTCAACCCATGAACCAGGAGATCACAGTTCAATTCCCGGTCATGGCACATGTCTGGGCTATGGGCTCGATCCCCAGTGGGGGGGTGTACAGGAGGCAGCCTATCGATGATTCTATCATTGATATTTCTGTTTCTCCCTCTCCTTTCTTCTCTCTAAAAAAATCAATGAGAACATATTTTTTAAAATTATGGATGTTCCAAAAATCCAAATAAATAAATAAATAAATAAAGCAGCAAATGAACAGCACCAGTTATTCTGTATACTCTATAAAAATGTGACTCCCTTAAAAACTAAAAATTGGAAAGAAGAGAACTTTAAAATACCTGTACTTTCTGTTCAGTACCCACAGTTTTCCCAGGGGCGTGGTTCCCAAGTTGCTTATTCTCTTGAGATTCACAAATCTCTCCTTTAAGCCTTTCAACCTTAAACACAAAAGTATTTTAAATACAAACGTTGGAAGGGTGGGGAAGTTGCTTTGTTTTTAAAACATACAAATAACACACAAATACATTCTTCATGTAAAAATTCATACAACACATACGTATATAGAATAAAAAGTCCATCACATAACCTTACCCCAATAATCCCTTTCTTCTTTCCATAAGTAACACTGTTTACAATATACCCTTTCTGAAATTTTTCTCCCAATATGTGTGTGTGTGTATGTGTGTGTGTATATATATATATATATCTTATACAAATATAATGTATATATTTGTATAAGATATATAAATTTATAGACAACTTGAACCGTTTTTATTATAGTTTTACATTATGATAAAATATACATTAAAATATTTACCATGTTAACCATTTTTAAGTGTACAGTTCAGTAGCATTAAGTACATTCACATTATTGTGCAATCATCACCATCTATCTCCAGACACTAGAGATATGATTGTAAAATGAGTATAAAATTGGAGGGATATATAATATATCCAGAACTTGGAGGTATATATTAAAAATCACTGAATTGCTAAAGAGAAATGGTTAAAAAATGTAACACAACTAAGGGTGTAGTATTAATAATCTCAAACATATCCAGCTATAATAGAGTAATAATTTCTATTTGATAAATGTGTTAGGTATAAACTATTATCCAAATCTCTATTAAAAAGAAGAAATCCTATACTGACACAATAGTAATAAGATTACTTTTTGGTATAGGTAGTTAAAATGTATAAAATACAAATACTGGTAGATTGCATCCAAGTCAAAATATGGCTTTCTCCAGGGATGCTAGAACCACCAGTATCAGTCCACAATAATGACCAATAGGTGATGTGTATCTATGCTGCTCCATTGATGATGGTTATTCTATACACATTTAAATAAATTCTAAGAACAAACTAAATTAAACAATTTACCACTTCTCCAAGCCCTTTTTTTTCTGAGTCAAGTGATCGAACCCGAGTTCTTAAAGCCAGAATTTCCTCATTCAGCCTCTGATTGTGTTCCTTTGCTTTCTTTAGGTCAGCAGAATCTAAAACAGAGACAAGAATGCACTTAGTTCAACTGGAACGAAGTTTTAATTTGAGGGTATTAACTCTAAAAAGGAGGAAGTGCTATTTCCTAACCTTGTCATGTCTCTGCCTGTGATCCTCTGCATAAGAGCTGCTAGACTCTAACGTCCAGCTCTAGAATCCTCCACCAAACTAATGAAACAGAACAATATTTTTTATTTCTCACACCAAGACTAATGAATTGGACTTGTGAGTACAGGATTTCCAGCAATAGAGGTTTTTCTAGGACCTGGAATTTTAAAACAGTTGAGCCTACCTTGTAAATGATCTATTTGGCTTCCTTGCAGTCCTGTCTCTCTTATATACCTAACAGACTTCTAGATATTTCTGCTCATTAACAGCAAGTCCCCCTTGGATGACTGCAGTAATGAGGTAGGGACAGTGAATAAACAAATTTTCCATGTTAAAACAAGTTAATTCACTAAAGCCATTTTCCTGCCTGTAGCTCAACTGCCATTAAAGTGGTAGTATATTCTCAGCTTAGCACCTCATCTTAAGACCTGCTCTGGCACTCATCAAAGTTTCATGAATACAAACTTGCTGACTGTAACTTTCCTGAATTTGTAGCTGCTTCTTTTTAACCATTCTTCACTTCTGTTTCTCTTATTTTTCTTTTGCTGCTTTAAAGTCATTGTTTTCCATTTTCACTGCCTGTTTTGTATTGAACTGGTATTAATTTTTTTCTTTCTTCATTTTTTTTTCTCCCTTGCTATATTCCTTTTTCCTCTGTAGTATATAAGTTTTCAAAATTTGAAAAATGCTGAAAACATACCAAAAAGAAAACAAATCATTCACAACACCTATATATAATATATATTCACAATTTGTAGATAGATGATAGATAGATATAGATATAGATATAGATACAGATATAGAATGTAAATAAGATTTGTTCTACCTTTGGCCTATGCAATTTTTGTTTTGTTGTTAATCCTCACCTGAGGATATTTTTTTCATTGGTTTTCAGAGAAAGTGGAAAGAAGGAAGTAGGAAGAGAAGAGAGAGAAAGAGAGACAGATAGATAGGTGAGAGAAATACATTAATTAGTTGCTCCTGGAGGGAATCCAACCCTCGACCCTTTGGTGCACTGGCTGACACTTTAACCACTGAGAAACACTGGCCAGGGACCAATAAACACATTTTAAATTATTTTTTTAGTTGCTCCCATTACAACACTCAAGTTTCACTATATTATTTATAGCTGGTAGCATTTTTATATAGCCAGGCGAGGGTCAGATTAACTAATTCACCACTTATGCCAAGTCTGTTGGCTTCTCAATGAACAAGTATGTGTGAGGTGCTGTTAACTGCATTAGAAGGTGTCTTGATCCCAGTTGTCCCAGTAAAATATGTATTATTTATGTTTGCCACAGGTTTTGGAGTCCAGACATATCTAGGTTCAAATACCAGCTATAATAATTAATGTAATCTATTGGCTAAGTCACTTAACCTCACCATGACTCGGCTTCTTTATCTATGAAATTAAAATAATAATTCTCACTGCTTGAAATTGTTGTGAGGATGAGAGGTAATGCACATACAGTGCTTGATGGAGTACCTGTGACTACTAAGCAACAACTAGTAGTAATAGTGATAAATAGTTAAAATAGTAATAATAGCAGTAGTAGTGCAATTATTATTAATATTATTTTAAAACATTGTTATATTATTATGTAACGTATTATTAAATATTGATTCTGTTAAAATGACTCACCATTTTCTTTCAACTTTGTCAGATTTTCTTTCAGCTCTTCAATTTCTAATTGAGCCTTTTCAAGTGCAGAATCTAAAAGAGAAAAAAACAAAATACAGGTTGGGGTAAAAGTAGATTCACAGTTTTTCATATGGAAAATAATACAATATTCACTGTTAAAAATGCATTTTTTTTTTTTTTTTTTTTTTTAAATATTTTTTTTTAAATATATTTTATTGATTTTGTACAGAGAGGAAGGGAGAGATAGAGAGTTAGAAACATCGATGAGAGAGAGTCATCGATCAGCTGCCTCTTGCACACCCCCTACCAGGGATATCATTATTATTTTATATATGTTCTACCAAAGTAGAAAGTACTTATAACCTGTTGACCCAATAATTCTACTCTTAGATACATCACAGTTAAAAACGTATAGATAAGTACAAGAATATCCAGAGCACACAGTTCACAATAGCCCACAACTGGAAACAACGTAAGTATTCAACAGTATAAAGCACATGTGTCAAACACAAGGCCCGAGGGCCAAATCTGTCCCGCCAGGCCTTGCAATGTGGCCCGCACGCGCTAGGTCACACTGCATACCGTCCGCTGCATTTCCATCACAAGACTGTTATGACTGTTCAGTAAACTTATTCCGGGACCGCGATTTGGCTGATGTTAAAATTTTTGGGGGGCCCTTCTATGATTGAAGTTTCGTATTCAACAGTATAAAGGGTAAGTAAAATAAGTGATTTTATTTTAATTTTAATAAACATTGAGTATGTTTATTCTATGGGATACTCTACAAACAGCAAGAGTGAACAAACTGCTATAGGCAACAACACAGATGAATCTGGCAAACATAAGATTGAAGAAGAGAAACAACTAAAGAATGTGTGGGCCCTGTAGTCAAAACTCAGGAATAGTGTTAAAAGTCCAGATAGTAGTTACTTTTGGGGAGGAGAGAAGGTGTAGATATAAAAAGAGGAAACAAAGGCCCCCTCTGGGGTGCTGAGGATTTCTTGCTGGATGGTGTGCACTTAAGAGTTGTGCACTTCCTTATAGGTATGTTATGCTTCTGCTTTAATAAAAATTTCTGACACTGGAGAAAATGAGGCATTTTATCAGATATTTATGTGTTTTTTCTGAAGAGATTATTTTCTGAAGGTGCTCATGTTCTACCCTGAGAAAAGATCATTACACACCGAAACCAGTTTGGTTCAGTGGATAGAGCGTCGGCCTGTGAACTGAAGGATCCCAGGTTTGATTCCGGTCAAGGGCATGTACCTTGGTTGCGAGCACATCCCCATTAGGGGATGTGCAGGAGGCAGCTGATCGATGTTTCTAACTCTCTATCCCTCTCCCTTCCTCTCTGTAAAAAAAAACAATAAAATATATTAAGAAATGGAAACTTGGTAAAATCCAAAGTTCTTAAAAAAAAAAAAGTCAATAATTTAAAAAAAAGAAAAGAAAAGATCATTACACTTAAAACATGGTCAGAAATGTTCTTCTGTAACCACAGCTTACCTAACTTACTCTGTTCTTTCTCATTCCCTTGTAGCTCATCAGTGAGCCTTCGGATCTCTTCATGGACCATCCTTAACCTCTTTGCTATTTGTTCCACATTTCTCTCTATGCAGTTTTGTGATGTTTTATCTTTCTCTATGTCTTCATTATGGGACTGAAATAAAAGCATTGTTAGTAATATTAGAACAAAAAAGTAAATGTACTCTTATGACATTGTACTATTTCCTATGTGTTTAAAAAAACAATAAATAGAAGTATCAAACAGAACATTTCATGTATGTGCATCATTTTATTAGGTTGAACTACATACAGTTGATATTTGATTATTTTTTACCTATAAACATGCAATTTCATATGGCTCAAACTAGCATATCTAAAATATTTTAGTCATATGATTATTTTAAAGATAGAAATTTAGGCCTGGCCAGGTGACTCAGTTGGTTGGAGCATTGTCCCATACACCAAAACGTGTAGGTTCAATTCCCAGTTAGGGCAATATCCAGGTTGCAGGTTGGATCCCAGGTCCGGGTGTATATGGGAAGCAACAGATGCCTGTTTCTCTAGGCAACGGATCCATGTTTCTCTCTCAAACTGGTCTCTTTCTCCCTTCCTTTCTCTCTAAAATCAATCAAAACATGTCCTTGGGTGAGGATTAATACACACACACTTGATATTTAATCATTAAAATAAATATCATCTGACAAGAAAGAAACTGTTCTTCTCACTTATATGGAATATTAAATACAGTTTATAAAATATTTTCACATGAAGCATTTCACTGAATTTCACAGTGAACAAAGCTCATATCATGTTTACAGCTCATTTTCTGCAATTATTTTCAAAGCATGCAAAAACTAAGGAAAAAATGCAATCTCAATTATATTTTGCTTTAATCCCCCAAATATGCATTAACTTAAAATAAATATAATCACTATATGAATTTTTCTTAAAGATAAGAAAAAAATCATCTATATATCAAAACCACTTTTAACATATTGGTATGTTTCATTGCAGTCTTTTATCTTCACATTCATTAAAAAAAAATCTTTATTTTTGAGAGTATTATGGATGTCCCCTTGAGACTGAAACCCAGGTAAATGCCCTTTGACCAGAATCAAACCCAGGACCCTTCAGTCCATGGGCTGACGCTCTACCCATTGAGATAAACTGGCTAGGGCATGACTTTTTTATTAATATTATGAGAAACATTTCCCACATTGTTGAACAGATTTTGTAATGATAATTTTAAAAGCCTGTATAATGTCTCAGGGTGGGCATAACATAATTCATCACTGAAATATTTTGGTAGTTTCCAATTTTTGTTGTTGAAAATAATACCATCATTTACACTTTTATCCATATATATTTTTCTTTATCTTGGGTTAAATTCCCAGTATATACTTTATTCACTGGATTTAGCTTTGAAATTAATTTCAGAGAGGAAGATAGAGGGAGTGAGAAATGGAAACATCAATGATGAGAGCGAATCATTGACTGGCTGCCTCTTGCACCCTCCCCACCCCCAACTTGGGATTGCGCCCACAACCTGAACATGTGCCCTGATCAGAAATTGAACCCTGACTTCCTGGTTAATAGGTTGATGCTCAACCACTGAGCCATGCCGATTTAGCTTTTAATAACATTTCCCCAGATCAAAAAATTTAATCCCATGAGAACTTATTATATTTAAAATGATGTGCTGTATATTTTAAAGGACTTTTGAGGAGCTCCATACATATTTGGAACGAAGTACTAGTATGCACTGTCTCTAATGTGATTTTTCAAAGGATATAACACACATTAAATTTTGATACATTCAAAACATGTCAGCTATGTATTAAATGGGTAAGTGATTTTTCTTCTTCCCAAATTTTTGTGATATGTTTAAGATACTTTTACGTATATTCTGATAATTTTTGCAGCATCATTACATACATTTTAATATATTCAAACAAAACACTTCCAAGGTAGAGTTAACTTGCAATCAGGTAGTACTATTAAGTAGTGCCCCTTATTCAGTTATCTAGTTAATTTTGGAATACCTGGGCAAATTCTTTCAGTAGGTTATTGCTCTTACATCTTTGTGACTCTGGCTTTGAGTCCCCATGATCCAGTTTACTCAAGAGTTTACTTCTGTCCACCAGTAAGTATGCAATCTGTTCACTGGAGCTGTTCAGAGCTATTTCTGAGTCTTCTTGATACAACATTTCTCCAACCTCTTTTATTAGGAAGAAATAACAGAAACAAACTGTTAAAAGAAATGCAGGTAAATAACTATAAGATGCTAAATGAGTTTTTAATTAGAGAATTAGATAACACATTAATTTAAAAGTAAGCAATACTGATTCTATTACGCTTCTCTCCATCTCTCCAGGTGTTTGCAAACTTTCAAAATTATAACAAAAAAGTAGTGGGGAAAGATCTCAAAAGCAGTATTCTTACTATTTGCATAAGTTTAAAATTTGTTCTTGAGTAACTTTAAAATTTGTTTATTGAGTGCTTATGATGTGACAGGTGTACTAATATCTGAGATAAATTTATCTCATTTAATACTTACTACCACCCAATGATATAGGAACCATGATTATTGTTTTATGAGAGAACTCAGGCACCAAGAAACTAAATGACTTTTCCAAGATGACTCAACAAATTTTGCCTAAATTCTTGGTAACTTCAATATTCAGGTAAATTATCATTCTAGTGTCCTGCCTTCTCAGTCCGTTCACCAGCTAACTTCTTAAAAAAAAAAAAAAAAATAGCCGAAACCGGTTTGGCTCAGTGGATAGAGCATCAGCCTGCGGACGGAAAGGTCCCGGGTTCGATTCTGGTCAAGGGCATGTACCTTGGTTGCGGGCACATCCCCAGTAGGGGGCGTGCAAGAGGCAGCTGATTGATGACTCTCATCGATGTTTCTAACTCTCTACTCTGTATCTCTTTCCCTTCCTCTCTGTAAAAAAAAAAAAAATATATATATATATGCATACACATATATATGTGTATATATGTATGTATAAACACATCATATATATATATATATATATATATATATATATATATATATATATATATATATTTCAGAGTGGAAAGGAGAGGGAGAGGGATATAGAAACATCACTGATGAGAGAGAATCATTGATTGGCTGCCTCCTGCATGCCCCACACTGGGGAACGAGCCCACAACCCGGTCATGTGCCCTGACCCAGAATCGAACTGTGACCTCCTGATTTATAGGTTGATGTCCAACCACTGAGCCACACTGGCCAGGCCCACCAGCAGAAAAAGGGCCAGGCCAGTCAAGCAATTGCACCCCATGCCTGTCACCTGCAGAGGGAGGTGACTGGTGGCAGGGAAGAAGGGGGGCAGTGCTGCACAGATGGCAAGCAGTGGCAGCGGCAGGGGTGGGGCCAGCTGCTTACAGCTGGGGGAAGCAAAGCCCCGAGAGGTCCTGATTTAAGGCCTAGGGACCCCACTCAAGGGGTCCTGGATTGTGAGAGAGTGCAGGCCGGGCTGAGAGACCCCTCCAAGTACATGGATTTTCGTGCACTTGGCCTCTAGTTATTAACTAGATGTTAAAGACTAGTTATTAACTAGAGGTTAATGCTAATGATTGATTACTATAATCATGTTGCATTCATTTCCCTTATGTGCCTTACACTCAGGCACACCATTTATCTCCACTAATACTAGCAGTGAATATTTTAGCAGTGAATTGCCACACAATTAGTCTTGTACTAACTTCTTTGTGTGCACAACAGGAAATATTTCATTTTCGGAGAATAAGAAAAATAGGTTTATTTGTATTACACTTATTAATTTGTGCAGTTATTCAGTGCCTGGTAAGTTAATGTTCAAGAAAAAATATTAATTTTTATGAAAATATTCTATTATTTTATGTTAATGATTACTCATTTATTTTAGTCCTTTGTACTCAGTATGTCTCTATCTAAATAAACCTATGTTTCTATGAAAATTGAAGCTTTTGGGTTTTTTTGCAGCCTCCCTAAATTTAAACCTTATTTATTTGGCCCACTAGCCCTAGGTCAGTGGTTGGCAAACTCATTAGTCAACAGTATGGCAAACCATGGCTTGCGAGCCACTTGCGGCTTGCAAGCTGTGGTTTGCCAACCACTGCCCTAGGTTATTTCCTATAGTCTCAAGGCTTTAAGTATTAGCTATATGCCGATGACTCTCAAATTTACATCTCGATTGAACTGCATTGCAAATATATATATATATATATAAAAGCCTAAGCAACCATTACGACTGATCAACCAAATGACCGTTTGCTATGATGCGCACTGACCACCAAGGGGCAGACACTCAAAGCAGGAGCTGCCCCCTGGTGGTCAGTGAGCTCCTACAGCCAAGCTCCCCAGTCGGCCAGCCCCAATTGGCCCCAATTGGCCCTGATCACCGGTCAGGCCAAGGGACCTCACCCATGCATGAATTCATGCACTGGGCCTCTAGTACATACCTACATAATTGCCTACTTGACACTTCCACTTGGATATTTAACATAGACCTCAAAATCTACATGACCAAAAGCAAACTCGTTACTGTCTCCCCCAACTAGGATGTTCTATATTGTCCCCCATCTGAACCGTTAAGAACTCTACTGCTCAATCCTAAAAGTTTTGGGCCAACAATGACTTCTTTGCTTATGTCCCACCCAACACTAAATCTATTATCAAATCATGTTATCTCTACCTTCAAAAGATAATCCTTTCATTACAGAAGCACTTCTGTTGTACCTGACCTGTGTTCCTAAAAAGAAAAACAACTTGTATTTTGCAAAATTGCTTACTAAAAATAATAGCGCTTATTGAAAAAACAGATTCTATAGACTACTCCAACTTTTGTCATTGTGTAACTGGAGTGCTATAAATGACAATAACAATCCTAATAATTATATTGGTACATATAAAGAGATGTGTCAAATTCCTAAAAAAATAAAGGAATTCTATAGTAAATATGAAACTTTGTGTTTTGTTTTGTTTTAAAAATCAAGCCTTGCCCTAACCGGTTTGGCTCAGTGGATAGAGCATCGGCCTGTGGCCTAAAAGGTGCCAGATTTGATTTCGGTCAAGGCATGTATCTTGGTTGCAGGCACATCCCCAGTAGGAGGAGTGTAGAAGGCTGCTGATCAATGTTTCTCTCTCATCGATGTTTCTAACTCTCTATCCCTCTCCCTTACTCTCTGTAAAAAAAAAAAAAAAAAAAAAGGAAAAAAAAATCAATAAAATATATATATTTTAAAATCAAGCCTGCTGTAAAGGTAAGCTAAAGGAGGATTTGCTCTGCAGAGAGTTATGGAAACAAAGTCAGAATGCACAAAGATAAGGGATATCTTTGCAATGAGCACTTCCAAGTCAAACATGTGGCCAAACTGAGCCCAGAAGAATGTGGGATGAATGGAATTTAGGAACAAACTTCATTGGTTGCTGGTAGCCCAAATCATTAATATGCTGGAGAAAATTGTATATAAACCTCCACATTACAATAATATCATTCCTCTATTTAGCAATCCTTCATGAGCTAATTTATGCTGGGAGTAGGACATCCAGTATTTTCTGTTTTGTGCAGTGAGCCCTGAACAACCCGCCTGCTGAGCTGGAAGGGGAGAGGTAGATTTGGAAGTTTAAACTCCCACTTTTCATTTCCTGGCCACTAAATAAAGCCTGTGCTGTAACCAATCAAAATGATGATGATGATGATGATGATGATGATGATGATGATGATGGAAGAAATTAAAGAAAATTCTTAAAATGCAACCACTATATGAACAAATAGAATGCAGACTTTTATTTTATTTATTTACTTATTTTTAAAAACATATTTTATTGATTTTTTTACAGAGAGGAAGGGAGAGGGATAGAAAGTCAGAAACCTCTATGAGAGAGAGACATCAATCAGCCACCTCTTGCACACTCCCTACCAAGGATGTGCCCGCAACCAAGGTACATGCCCTTGACCGGAATCGAACCCGGGACCCTTGAGTCCGCAGGCCAATGCTCTATCCATTGAGCCAAACTGGTTTCAGCTAGAATGCAGACTTTTAAACTAGGAGGAGAAAACTCAATATATCCAATGGATAACAAGAAAAGAAAAACAAACAAAAAAGTGTGGAAATATGTTCTATGATTAACTCAAACTCCCCTGCACTTGAGCTTCACAATAAAGAAAAAACTTGTCCATCAACTTCATAAAAGGAAATTCTAAAGAGGAAAAAAGAAAAATGATCCCAAATGGAATATCTGAGATGCAAAGAAAAATGCTGAAAAATAAGAAATGTGTGGTAAATATAATCACTGACCACATACCATGGTATTAATAATCTGTGGAGCTAAACCAAGTAGAATAATAATATACATGGTTCTATCTGTATTTTTCCTGATAGCTTTAAAGTACTTATACTAAATATTTTCCAAGTCCTTAATATGCTAGCTACTTTATAAGGCAGGTACTGAGTAGGAACACAGAAACCACTAAGACTAGGACATAACCTCTGCCCCAGAGGAGCTGACACAGGTGATTATCACAGTGTGGTAAGTACCATGATAGACGTTGAAGCAAATAACCATTCTGCAATCTATCACACACATTTTAGAATATTTCAGAATAGATATTTTCATATTTTCAAAAGGCAGGCAGAAAATACACCTAAAACATTACAAGTACTTTTGGAATGTGGACAACATATTTTCCCCCTTCCTTCTACTTTTATACATTTCCCATATTCTCTAACATCACATTAATTTTTAGAATTAAAATTACTTTTTTACAAAAAGAGAAATTACCTTGTTTGCATTGGAGTTCTTTAAACTCATGTATAAGATGTTTGTTTTCCTTTTCATAACCATGAGAAAATGTTTCTCTTTCCTTTGGTAAGTTACAGACATAGCTTGCATCATTTCCCACCTAAAAAGAAAATAATACACTTTCTTACTCTTAGTCCATGGTTCATATTTTAACTCATATTAAAAGTCTATTAAGTTTAAGTGCCATTAAGAGATCACCATATTATTGTGTCTACAATCTGAGAAGTATATATATTGTTGTTAATCCTTACCTGAGGATATTTTTCCCATTGATTTTTAGAGAGTGGAAGGGAAGGGGAGAAAGGGGGAAACATTGATGTGAGAGACGAACATTGATTGGTTGCTTCCCGCACATGCCCCGACTGGAGCTGGGGATAGAACCTGCAACCCAGGTACCTGCCTTTGACCAGGAATGGAACTCGTGACCTTCCTGTGAACAGGGTGATAATCTAACCACTGAGCAATATGGTCAGGCTACCATCTGAGAAATAAACAGAAAACTCGGCCTTAAATGTACCAGATACCATTTCCCATAGATATGATGACACGTAGTCACAAATTTTATGAGACAATCACTGTCTCTAATATTTTCCCCATTAATATATAAGGTTTCAAATCAAATCTTTTTTTTTTTAAAATACATTTTTATTGATTTTTACAGAGAGGAAGAGAGAGGGATAGAGAGTTAGAAACATCAATGAGAGAGAATCATCGATCAGCTGCCTCTTGCACACACCCTACTGGTGATGGGCCCGCACCCAAGGTACATGCCCTTGACCTGAATCAAACCCGGGACTTTTCAGTCCGCAGGCCAACGCTCTATCCACTGAGCCAAACCGGTTTCGGCTCAAATCAAATCTTCTTATCTATGGTTTAGGAAACATGGTCACGATACCATGCGGTGAAAATCTACATAAATATGTATACACGCCTATACTAAAATTGATTAAGATGCCTGAAATGTTAATATGAGATTCTATTAAAATACATTGTTGGGTATTATTTTAAAATAGTTTCTGGTTAATATGGCAGCTTCACAAAAGTATTTTATATGGCTAATAATAACAGATTGAGGCTAACTATGTGCTCCAGGCACTAATATGTTAAGGACATCAAATACAGGGCAAATGAGGTTTACAGTTCTGAGTATGGGAAACACAGTTTATTCTTGTATTATTATTACAGATTGTATTATTTTTCATATGAACTGTAAACCTACTTTTACCCACCCTGTACTTAATTTTTATCACAGTCCTATGGAACTATAAAGCAGGCTGACAGAGACTAAGGAACAAGGGGAAGAGCTAGCTAGGCTGCACATTCAGGTGGGCCAGAACCAGAGACTGGGCCCTTACCTGGTGCCAAATGCTTAGAAGTAAACTACCAAAATAACGGAATTGCATTTTGCCCAATTGTTTTGAAGCCTATTGAACAACTCTTCAGAATATGAATAAAAAGCTAAATAATATAGAAGGAAAACAGGATTTCAATCTTTCTTTAGAACTTCCTGGTTTCTTCCTCTTTAAAATGGCAGTAAGAGAAATAACCTATTTCCTAGTATTAATAGCTACAATTTATGAAATACAAGTCGGTGTGTGAAAGGTTTATTCACATTCCCTTGGGTAAACCTCACAAATCCCTTTGAACAAACTATTATCATTTTTCAGGCTCAAAGATGTCAGTTACTTGCCCAGGGTTACACAGCGAGACAGTGGTAAAGGCAAATTTTCACGGTCTGCCTCATGTTGAAGTTCCCAGTCCAATATGCTCTACTGCTTTTGTTCTGAAGGAGACACATTCCTCTTTATGGAAATCCCATTGCCCTCTAAGAGTTAAATTTAAAAATCAACAAGTTTCCTATCAGAACTGAGATGTGGAGACATAACAGAATGATGATTCCCAAGCAAGCTGAGAGAATTAACTCATTATCAGAAAGTAGGTTGATTAGCCTTAGCTGGTTTGGCTCAGTGGATAGAGTGTTGGCCTGCAGTCTGAAGGGTCCTGGGTTCGATTCCAGGCAACGGCATATGCCCAAAAGGGGGTGTGCAGGAGGCAGCCGATTCTCTCTCATCATTGACGTTTCTATTTCTTATTCCCTCTCCCTTCCTCTCTGAAACCAATAAAAATATATGTAAAAAAAGAAAATAGGTTGATCAGAAAACATCAAATAGTGATGAGAGTCAAAATATATTATTATTGACTCATCTAAGGCTCGGTAAACTGGTCCTAGGATACAACAGGTCTAAAAATAAGGGTGGAAATAGATAGCCCTATTGTGTAAATATGACTATCTTAGCTGGTATTATAAAATTTTAGAATCATTTGTTCATCATGATTAAAATTTGCCTCCCTGTCCTATGTAGTGTGTTTGTAGGGAGTGAATCCATCAGGCCATAGGACATATGTGACTGGTTCCTCTGGCAATTGTACTTTTTATTATAAAAAGCTGGTTTCTATTTTTCTGAACAGTTCCCTGTGAGTTTAGTTAATATAAGAATAGCTTTGAGAAGCAGATCCACTTAGGTTTCTAAGCCAACAAGCAAGAGAGTCAGCTAGAGGGTCAGTTATTGAGACAAGGAGGGATTTACCAAGATAATGAAAGCCACCACGAGCAGGCCTATTTGGATAGTCAACCAGTCATCTCTAGGCAACATCCTGTTCATGTCCTCTACTGGAAACCAATACAGACTGTTGAAATATTTCATTAAAAAATGTATAGGTGAATGCTTTGCAAACTATACAGTGATATCCAATTGTTTTTTATTGTTAATTTAAAGGACAGTGAAAAAAACCATAGGTATTTAAAATTTTTTGTTATTAGCTCTTACTTGTTTCATTTTTTCCATGTTTCTCAATGAAAGTTCTTCTAGATTTCTGGAAGTAGTCCTCAGCATGTCTTCACTGTGCTGGAATAGGGACTAGACAAAATAGAGTAGTTCTCCAGTAGTGGCATGAGATTCAATTCTTTCTCTCTCAAGATGATGAAGTATGTCTAACTGAACTTTTCCCTTGATAGAAGAGAGAGGCATATGTGTATGCACACACACACATACACATTTACATTACATGGAACTGAGCATGCAAGAAATCTGATATATCCAAATTTCTGGGGTGGGCAAAGTAGGTTAATAATAATAAATAATACAATAACTAATAAGTAATACAAGAATAAATTGTTTCACATATAACTATAAGCATATTTTTGCCCTACTAAAATAACAAATGTATTCTGCTAAATTGTTTAGACTCTCTACAAAGATGTTTTCCTATTAATTGTTATATTACCCAGTTATGTGCACTTACGTGAAATAGCTAACACAAAAAAAATCAAAGCTTTAACAGCTGCATATCTTCTAAAATAATGACATTACATATAATGCAAATGCATGATAATATCTTTAAGAATGCAAGCTTTTCTGTCTGCTCAGTTATAAAGTTTGCAATTTAATAATCTGAAAATCTCCCAAAGATCCTTTGCAATGTTAGAAATACCAAAGAAACTTTTGTTCCCTGTAGTGAATTTAAAAAAAAAATCTTCACCTGAAGATACGTTTTTCACTGATTCTAGAGAGAGAAGAGAGAAGGTGTGAAAGAGAAAACACTGATGTGAGAAACATCAATCCTGTCCTGGGATCAAACCCACAAATTCCCATGTGCCCTCACTGGGAATCAAACCAGTGACCCTATGGTTAATGGGATGATGCTTTAACTAATTGAGCCACACCAGTCAGAGCTCCTCTAGTGAATATTTAGAAATAAAAGGACTCCTCTGGAAGCTACAGAGCCCACTAATTCTATACTATCAATGAATCATTTTGCTCACATAATAATGTCTTATCATTTTTGTTTACTTCTAAGTCATTCTGCGCTCTTCTAAAATTTCTTACTCTAAGCCTGCCATCTATTTTGTCTTTAATTTTTTTTAAGTTGAAAGTGTCATGTTACATGACAGCTTGCACTACATGGTGGTGTAAAAGTTAAATATCTGCTGATTGATGAAGTAGTAATTGTGTTACTAGGACCACATAAGTTAACATTCTTAAGTGTACAATTCAATGGCATTAATAATTCACAATGTTATAAAACCATTGCTGCTATCCATTTTCCAAACTTCTTTATTATCCCAAATATTTATTCTGTACCCATTAAACAAAAGGTTCCCATTTCTCTCTTTCCCCAGCCCCTGGTAACCTTTAGTCTACTGTCTGTCTCTACAAATAAATCTAATCTAGTTTTGTTTCTGGCTTATTTCACTTATCCATTTTATAGTATCTATCAGGATTTCCTTCCTTTTTAAGGCTGATTAATATTTCATTGCGTATATTTTGTTTATCTATTCATCTGTTAATAGATATTTGGGTTATTTCTACCTTTTGACTATTGTGCATAATACTATAATACTATGAACAACTGTTCAAGTCCCTGCTTTCAGTTGTTTTGGATAGATACCTAAGAATAGATATGCAGAACTGCTAGATATATAATTCTATGTCTAACCTTTTGAGGAACTGCCATAAAAAATATACATTAATAGATGTGAAGTGGCTACTCTATGGAACTATAATTAATCTACAATTCCTGGGAGGCCTCTAGTTCCTGGACCATTACATTCTCTCACAAACTACCAGATACTCTCTGGTTTTCTCCCTCAAACTGTTGATCATTTCAATCACTCTCTCACCAATGACTCCAATTATCTTGCTCCTTATCCCATCTTCCTTGAAAATCCCAACCCTGGAAAAATGCAACCATTTGACTAATATTCTTTACCTATTTTAGTGTGCTGAGTGCTAGTAGAAAAACAAACAAACATGCAGACTGGAGCCACTCCAAATTCATGGTTTGCAGCCTGAGTCAAGCTTCTCTGCTTGCATGGGTCATTCTACGTGTTTTTTTTTTGTTTGTTTTTTGTTTTTTTAACCAGCTTCTGCTACCATTTTACTTTGCAGTTATTCAGAACGTTCACCTCTCCAGTCTTTCGACAGATGACCTCATCTCCCACAGCACTAGTAAAACTCAGGTCACCATAAACTCTGTCAGCTTCTTCCTCTGTCACCAACAAAACCTTCATCATTAGACTCTACCCTCTTTCCCGTTCCCAGTGGAAGAGTTTTCCACCCTCCTGACCTAAGCTAATCACTTTACCTGGGTCCTAGAGCCCACCCCATATTGCTTCTAGGGAGTCTTTTCGGTATGCTCATTATCTCCCTTTCTACTGTCTTGGCATTAGTTCAAGATGTCTCTGATCTCAAAAATAAAGATGCAAAAATAACCTTCCTTTGATCCCAACACATTCCCCTCAAGTTATTGTCCTTTTAATTTCCTCCACTCCTCAAATCACTGTATTTTGGCTTCTGCTCTCACTACTATACTCAAAATCGGTCAACAATGACTCAAAATGCCGGATCCAGCTGGACATGTTTCTGTTCTTTTTATATATGATCTCTCTACAGTATCTGTTCACTCCTGTCTTGAAAGTAATTCCTTTCTCTGTTCTGTGATGTCACTTTCTCTTGTTTTTACTCTTATCTCTCCAGACTTTGTCTGTGTTTTTCCTCATTTCCCATAGACCCTTCAAATGTGGCCATTTCTAAAAACCCTGCCTATGATCTTCTCACTATCATGATCAATAGCTTGGGCATGGAAATCTGACATACCTTCGTTCAAATCCTAGCTGTGTGACTTATACAAGTAATCTAATTTCTTTACATTTTTATTTCCCTAAAAATTTTTTATATCTATATTATAAAAGGCCAGAGGCCATAATGCTATAACAACAGGTCACCAGGAGGTGATGGAGCACCTTTCGGTCCCTCCCCCCTGGCCTGTGAGCTGCTCGTGGAGGCAAGGCAAGGCTCACGGCTCACGTGGTGAGGTGGAGCTCATAGAGGCGAGCTACTTGTGCAAGGCAGGTCTGGGGCCCCCCAATGTGGAGGGTCTGAGTCTCACGCGATTATGTACATTGGGCCTCTAGTAATAGTAATAAATAAGTCATTAGCCTGTTAGGAGGATTACATAATCCATCTCTGCTGAGCTCCAGATGTATCTCGAAAAAGTGGCAAGAAACAGAAACACATTGAAGTTAGAACAAATACAAGTGCATGTGGTAGAGACTGCCAGCTCTCCTTCAATATTTATTCATCCCCTTTTCTACAAAGATGTATCATTTTTTGTCCAATCACACAGCTGCCTGCCTTATGGTTAGATACAGCCTTATAACTAAGTTCTGACCAATGAGATGTAAGCACAGTTGTGTGACACCTCTAGAAGTGTCCTTCAAGGAACAGGATACCCTCTTTCTCACTCCTTCCTCCTTTCTACTGGCTGGAAAGCAGACAAGATACCTGAAGCTTGAGCAGCCGTCCTGGATACCATCAGGGGAAGTCACATGCCCTGGATGAAACACTATCATGAGAAAAGAAATCTGAATCTTGAACTATTCCAAGATGCTATCCTATCAGTTCTGGACTGCTCTCTTCTTGATTTTTATGGGAGAAATAAATTTCTACCTTTTAAGTCATTATTATTTTTGATATTTTTGTCCCTCACAGCCAACCTATCGAACCACCAAAAGATACAAGGGCACATTCTGCAAATTAAACATGGCTGCACTGGAACTGGGTATGGAACTGGACAGCCATTACTAGTTTCTCTTGACCTATGAGGTCCTTCATCTCTGGGTCTTTCTGTGAGTCACCCTTATTAAATTGCTTCTCTATAAGGCTGGATTTTCTCTGCTTGCTCCTCTGCAACAATGAAAACAGCCATTCAGATCTTAAATCTATGTGACTTTTCAGATTGTCATTTCTATTCTTTTTTCTCTTAGTTCAAAATTTTTAAAATATATTTTATTGATTTTTTTTTTTTTTTTTACAAAGAGGAAGGGAGAGGGAAAGAGAGTTAGAAACACCATTTAGGGCTCTCTTAGTTCAAATTTATGAAAAAGAGAAAATTATTAGTTGCTCACCCAATGAATTTGTGGCCCCCTCTCTGAAGTTAGCTGTGTAATCCTCAGTCAGTTGTGGCTGGAATGGGTTGGAAGCAGTAGTACAAATCCTTGCAATAAAAGCAAGGATTCGCAGAGAGGTACAAGTTTCAGAAGGAGAATGCAGGCTAGGAAAGCAATATAAAATTAATCAACTATTTAAGACCAACGCATATCCATTGTCTAGAGAACAACTCAGTTTGAATAATCCATTCTTTCTCTTACACCTGTTCCTCCTTCTGTTTTTCAAAGTTAATAAAACCATCAGCATGGTTTCCAAAGCCAGACATTCTTGGTCCTTCCTGCTTATTTATTTATATCACTCTCATGTACAACCAGTCCCTAATTTGTAGATTTAATCTCTTTTTATCATCTTCTAATTCATCCTCTCCATGTCTACAATTGCTGTCTTAATTTAAGCTCTCCTCACTATTTGCCCAGTTTAGTGTAATAGCATCCTTAACTGATTTCCCTGTTGCCAGGCTGGCTCCCATCCAACCTGTATTCCACAGAGCTCTGAGACTGAATGCAAGTGACTTGCTGCTTAACGTTCCCTTTGCTCTCAGAAAGCGTTCAAACCCCTGAACTTGGCACCAGGGATTCTTCACAATCTGATTCCTGCCTGTCTCTCCAGTCTTACCTTCTTCCATAGCTCACATTCGCTCCTCATGCAGTATACTTACAGATTCCCATCATGCTACTTACACTTCTGTGACTTTGAATATTTGCATCCCTCTGACTGTTCTGCTATGACATCTCAGAACTAACATTTTGTCCAATGGACTTATTGAGACCCAATGGTTGAGTACATTGAAAATCCTAAAACATCAGATTTTGAGGTAATACAAATCCAGTCTTTGGATTAGAAATGCTCTGATGTTTAAACTGTGTCTAAAATTGCCCACGTAACAAAGAATGCAAATATACTATTCTCTACAAAGTAGATACTGAATAAGTGCTCATTAAGTATCTTAAAAGTCCACTCCTTGAAAAGAAGCACATCCTGTAGTGTTTTGGGGCATTCAGAAACTTCTAGATGTAAAGAATGAGGTGGTAAACCTGTCATAGCAAACTGAGACAGAATTTTAAGTGAAAAGAGTGCAAGGAGAATGGGTGAAGAGTCGTTTCTACTTGTTCTTATTTCTCCGATAGCAGGTGCCCTTCAGGAGCCAGGACCATACCTCACACTACAACACATCTCTTGGCTCTGAGCAAAGGATGAGCTTTGGTCTTTGAGTGACACAGAGAACAAAGTAATTAGCATGGCCACAAAAAAGGGACATATCCAATCAGGTTATTCACCCTAACCCTTCTTTCTTCTGCACAAATATAATTTAAAATGTATAGACATCTTAAAGACTATATATAATACACAATCTTTTCAATTCTCAAATAAATGAGAAAAATAATTTTTAAAGTAAAAAACAAGGTACCAATGTTTAAATGCTTAAAATGTAAAATTAAGCAAAAAATTAAGGCATAATACACACTATAATTACGTAAAAATGTACATGCATGAGCAAGGGCTGACATAACAAAAAATGAACTGTTGACATATTAGGACAGGGTTTCTCAGCCCTGGCACTACTCCCACCTTGTGCCTGCTAATTTTTTATTGTGCGGGATGGGTCACAGCATCCCTGTCCTCTACCAACTAGGTGCCAGTAGCCTATCTCCAGCTGTGACAATTAAAAATGTCTCTTTATGTTACCAAATGTCTCCTGGGAAGCAAACTGCCCTACAGGTTTGGAACTACTGTCCTAGGATGAGAGAAAAAATTTTAATTATGTTTACATAGCCATAATGATATCTGTTCAGTATATGCATATTGGATGGGGAAAGGAAAGCTCCTTATAATACAGTACCTAACAGCCCCCTTTTTTCCAAGAGTTAGAATTTATTCAGTTCTCATTTAATGCAAAAAAAAAAAAAAAAAGAGGCTACACAACTTATTTTTCTTTTCCAATCTATTATTGAAGAGAAAGCTGAATTTCTGTCAGTATTTGGAAACCTGACCTGGCATCACGTATGAGATAGCACGAATAACTGCTGTAATCGGCCTGAGAAATAAAAATACCGAAACCATTCTAGCCCCAAAGTGCCTGTTAAAAAGGTACACTTTACAAATCTTCAAAACAGGTTTACGTTTTAATCTGAATGCCAAAGAAGTGATAAGACTCGGTAAGATACACATACTTTAAGACAAAGTTTTCCAAGGTAAAATACAAATGCATTGGCTATAAATGAATCTTATTCTGTTTTTAAGGCCTTCTGTTTCAGTCTTTTCAGGATTATTAAGCCTGCCTCTTGCCAAAAAATTTTATTTTCTATCATTCCTCCTCAATGTTTTTGTTTCTTGGTTCACATTACAAAGAATGTTTTCGATCAAGAAACTGACATGAAGAGGAGCCATAAGAACTGTTTCAAGCATCTTCTTTCCAAAAATTCTATCTTATCAAGGTGTTGAGTTTATATGGCTTAAAGTTGGAATCCTGTTACATGATCATTCTGAATGATCTTATTACAAGCATGAATATATCATTGAAATACCTAATGAAGCATTCACTTACACAAGGAACAATCTTTCTTTATATGCCTGAGATGGACCCAAACTGCATTTTGATTTTCCCTCTCCACTTTCAAAACACACGAGGCTTGTAGCAATTACTATTTGTATTTACCAATGTGCGCTTCTAGTCTCTAGTCTACCCAGGACAAAAAGCTTTCTATAGGGAAACAGAGAAAATATTCCAAATGATTCCTGGGCTGGATAACGTGAAATATTTAGCTACACAAAGTACCAGCAGACAAACAAGAGAGGGTCTGTAGGTGACAGAGGTGGTGGAGATGCATGGACACTCAGTAGGGTGCAGCGCGGACAAGAAAGGGTGAACATGGCCATGGAAGGAGCAGGGTGAGAAAACCGGCGTGCTCAGGATGATGAGAGAAGTGGATGAGATGGTAGCTTGAAAGGCAGAAGGTTAACTGACTTGATGACGTCTGAGTTTGAGGATGCAAAAGGCCTCCAGAGCTTCAATTCCGGGAATTAAGGTTCTGCGTGGGGAACACAGGGCAGCAAAAGAGAAAACGGCAGTTCTTTGTTCACAGCCCGGGAAAGCCGGGGCTCGGTGGACCTCGTTAATAAATGGCCGCGAGCTTCAGGGTGTTTGCCTGGAAAGGGAGACATGGAACGCCTACCTAACTAACTGCGGGTGTTCTAAGCCCTCTCTGAACAGGAGCGGCATCCTAATTCTAAGTGCCTGCGGCTTTGGGGTCCCAGAGACTTAAGAATCCTAAGACAGAATCAGGCAAGCCCATGGCTAGAAAGGCCGCGCCAGGGAGAGGCTTTCCCCCTGTAGTTCGGAGCCATGCTGGGGAGAGAGGCGGGAAAGACCTGGCATGGTGAAAAAGAGCGGAGAACAGGTGCTTTCCTCCTCGGGGCTGTGGCGGGAACCTCAAAAAGCGGCCGGAAACTGTCTTCCGAGGGCGCGCCGAGGGTCCGGAGTCCTCCGCTCCGTAGACGCTCCGCAGCCAGGGGCAGGTGCCAGCGGAGTCCCGGGCGTCATAGCAACCGCGCCCGCCCCAGAGACGCCAAGGCGTTCTTCCGGCGAGAACTATAGAAACGACGCGCTCCCATTGGCTCAGGGGCTGTTCTTCCTGCGGAGACCAGCGCGACGGTGCACGCCATTGGCCTTTAAGGTCGTGGGGCGGGACTTTTCTGACAGGATCGGTGGTAGGCTTAGCTTAGGCTGTGTAGTAACCATGGTAACGTCAAGGCGCGCGTTCGCAACTTTTTGTCCCCAGGCATTTATAGTTCTCACACAGCTTCTCGCCAGGTAGCCCCGGCATCATTACCTTGGATTTGTTTTTCTAGAAGTAACTTCATTCTTAAAAGGGAGAGGGTGCTGCGTCAGGCAGGAGTCACGAATTTTAGGCCTACATCTGTAACTACCGGAGGCACCTAAAATCGCATTTTGGAGCCGACTTATTATTGTCAAAATGAAGACACCGAAAAAAAAAAAAAAAAAAAGAAATGCCGAGACCGGTTTGGCTCAATGGATAGAGCGTCGGCTTGGGGAACTGAAGGGTCCCGAGTTCGATTCCGGTCAAGGGCATGTACTTTGGTTGCGGGCATATCCCCGGTGGGGGGTGTGCAAGAGGCAGCTGATCTATGACTCTCTCTCATCGATGTTTCTAACTCTCTATCTCTCTCCCTTCCTCTCTGTACAAAATCAATAAAATATATTTAAAAAAAGAAAGAAAGAAAGAAAAAAAAGAAAAATCCTAAGAACTGAAATTCGGTTTAGGTAATGCAAAATAAAAAATTCTAAATGGCATAAAATTTAACACAAGTTCAATTTATATCTTCTTCATTTAGATGCTTTTATTGTAAGATTCCAGTTAGTTAAAGCTTGATTTTACTCATGTTTACAGGGCTTTTCTAGTATCCTAAACACGTATTTACCTTTTAAGTCTTATTCTAGTTTCCCATAGGATCCTTTCCAAAGCTCTGCCGGTTCTAGATGCATGATCAGGACCGATTTTATCCCTTACTCTCTAGAACTGCTTCAACCTCTACCTCTGGTACCAGAGCCCTTGCAAGTTCCTTCCTCTCACCTAAAATGCTCACCACCATCACCTCAAGCCCACTTACATTATATATCAGTTCAAGTGTCACTTCCTCAAGGAAGCATTCCTTGGTTCTCCAGTCTAGATCATTTTCTCATTGAGAAATCATGTTCCTTTTCATTATTTCTTTCTTTGCTCACTTCCATTTGCTATTGGAATTTTAACATGTGTAAATACTGTTTGGAATGGAAATTAAACAGAATTACAAAAGACTTTAAATAATTCCATGGAGAGAAGTGGTGGTTGTTACAAGCATAAACAAGATAGGAAATGGTTTCCAAGAGATATAATAATTAAGATAAAAACATTAAGATTACTTCTAGTTTTAATTCCATTTATCCTCATTGTATACACAAAGATGATGACAGCCATAATCTGCATAAAGATACAGATGTAGGGAAGGAAATCAATCTTTTACTTCCTATCACTTCAATACTGCAGCTGGTTACTTTTCCTGATTACTGGTTACTTTTCCTCTGCTCAAGGTCACACTTCCTAATTAATGAACTATTTCAGTGCATCTTGGCACTTCTGTTCAAATCTTTTCAACTGAAGTTTATTGTACCTCTATTATCAGTCCCAACTCACTTCATAAAACATCACAAATTACATTTTAAATAAAATATTTGTGTGAAGCACAGTACTTGCCTCTACCTAGTTGTTAATGGTAATTTTCCAAATTGTTCTCTGAACCACTGTACAAATCATTTAGTGGATTTTTCTGGACTACACTTCTTGTGCCAGGACAGCCAGTGCTTTGAAAACTTCTCAAGGATTCAAGGATCCAGCAGGGCACCAGCCCAATACTGCCTTGCTAAGAAAACAATTGCAACCGCTTAGTGAGTGTAAACTATGTGCCAGGCTCGAGACAAGTGATTTATCTTGTTTTACTTAATCCTCACAACAAATGGATTTCTCATCCATTTTATGGATGAGAAAACTGAAATTAAGTCAGGTGACTGAATGTATTGAGCTGACAAGTAGTGTAGCTTGGGAGAGGTCAAACATGGCTAAGAGGACTCCAAGGCCCATACGCTTTACCACACTGTAATGCTTCCCCAAGGGTAGAGATGATCAATTGGCCCATGCCTAGTTCTGGGCAGAAGCCCAGGTTCTCTCCCTGAGGAGCAGTCCTAAAAATATTTGAAGGGTAAATTGTTAACTCAAACATGGAGTAATCCTAGTACAAGAAAGCAAAAAGTAAAGCGGTAGGAAGCTCACTGTTCCTCAGGCAATGTCTTCAGGGAGGTGTCCTTCTCTCCTATTCCCAACTTTGATAAACCCCCAAAGAACAACATCTTTTCCACAATGTCAACTTTTAGGCACATACTTTATTGCACTTAATTTTTTTTAATATATCCATTTCCCAAACTAGACATGTTTATTCATCTTTTAATCCTCATAATCATCAAGGCCGACCACATAGTAGGCATCAACAATGGATGTTCAAAGCATGGCCATTCATGAAACCATAATTCACTTTATAGTATGAAGATGGTTGATATTCAGGCCTCACATGTATATTTTAAGGAATAGAATTCCCAATAAAATCTTTTTATTTTTTATGGGTGAGACACAGTTCATGTTGATTTTAAAATCAAGATGACATTCAGGTGAATGTGTCCGGTGGGTCAGTCATAATTGCTTTGTTTTTGTTTTCATTTTTAATGGGCATGAAATGACCTTTAAAAAACAAATAGCAAAAACCATATTCGCCTGCACATCACTCATTGCTTTTTCCCTTCATTTTCTCTGTCTTTCTGAAAGCAAAGGATTTATTCTGGTTCTCACCATCTGTAAGAGCCCTGGTCCACCAAACAATTTTTGATCCTATCGTTTTTTGATCCTTCAGTTTTTGCCTTGTATAAAAGCTGTGTGTCGGGACTGAAGATCATTCACTATCTTCTCTTCTATTTCCATGCCTTTTCCTATTTCTTCCTCTGATAGCAATAACTTAGTTTCTGAGTCTTTGGTTACAATAACCACAAAGGACCGTTGTGACTCAAGGATGTTAGCCACCACCACTTGATGTCGATACATTTCCAAAGCATTCCGTGCACGATCAATTATGATAGAGGGATTAGTCTCCAACTTAAAGGAAATTATAAATGCTTTGGGAGCCCAGTCTTTAACCAAAGGAGAAAGCATTTTTGGCACCATCTTCATTGTTATCTGTGTTGGAAAAAGAAAAGCTTAATAAGCAAACAAAGGTCACTACCTACCAGGTCAACCTCATGGGAAACTAAGGAGGCAGGGGCTCAGATTTTTGACTATGTCGAAGTGGGACTTCTCATTGTCAAACTTTTCAAAGCATATGAAATGCTTAGCTTAAAAGCCTTGGCTCTGTAGGGTTCATAAGGATGCCTAATTTCAAAGCTTCATACATATTCTATGAGCAAACCATATATAATGAATCAGTCCTGCTCTGCCATACTCTTTGCCATTAATAGAACCCCATAGAACAGCATTACACTTTCCCAGATATCTCCCTTTATTTTTAAGCCAAACCCCCATGTAAACAAATGCAAATAATCTACTCATGCAAAAGTTACTTTGGCAGAAGCTCAAATACAGTCGAGTTTTTTAACCTCGGCCTAAAATATTCCTTGCACTGATTGAATGGCTATTCCATTTAAAAACTGTCACTTGTGACACGTCTTAGCACTTATAACTGATTTTCTTTATTTTCATTTGATCACAATGTCTACTACACCATTCTCAATCCCTTCTAAAAAGGAAGATAGAACTAAAAAATAAAAGAAAAACTAAAACTCCCATAATTTAAATAGCGTAACATCACAACTCATCAGGTTTTCCCCTCAAAAAATTAGAAAGTGTAATACGGATCATATACCTGTTCTCCACTTTTTCTCCTTAGCATTTATCACTACCTAACATAGTACTGTCTCCTCTACAGAGTATGAGCAACACAAAGACACAGTATACTTCTTTCCCCTGTTTTACCTCCAGGTCCTACAATAGCACCTGGCATGTAATTGGTACTTAATAAATAAACATTTGTTGAAGAATCAAACAAATGAACTATCCTACAAAGTAAGTGCCCCACAGGTGGTTTCTCCTATTTAAATTCTAGTTGTATCATCCAGTAAATGACTAAGAACTCCCTCAGGTTACAAGAAGCCAGATTATCTCAAATCTCAATCACCCTACTACACTCCCTATATCGCCTCCTTAAAGTAAGCAATAACCCCATCTCATGAACCCTAGCCTCTCTCTCTAATTCTCCCTTCATACTGATGCTACAATATTCTCAAACAAAACACTCTAGTTCTCCTACTTATGTTTCCCTTGGCTCCACAGGATAAAGTCCTAGCTCCTTAAGAAGGATGAGAAAGTCTTTTACGATTTTAAACTGTTTCTTCTGCTCTACATTCCCACCCCTCTCCCTGCTCTCTGGCCTTATCAAACAACTTTAGTTCATAGTCACTGCCCACTTCCAAACTCCAATTGTGTACTCTATCTGGAATCACCTTCCCCACTTTGACTGGTATACCCTTTGCTCATCTTTTCAAACTCAGTTCAAGTAATCTCCAGAGAGCCTTCCTTGACTTCCCAAGATTCGATCACCGCATGCTTTGACTTCACTTTGTATGTACCTCGACTAGAACGTTTGTCACTCTGTATTGTAATTATGTCTGTGTCCAGGTCCCTCCCTAAATTGTGAGGTCCTTGAGGGAGAACGGTGTCTTACGCATTTCTGTATCCCTAGTGCCTAGTTCATATGAAATGCAGAAAGGCCACAGCCAGACCGGGAGGTTAACCCAGGATTGATTACAGGGAATCAGGTTTCTGGAAGGGAAGCGCCCATCACCTGTAGTGGGCCCCCAGATGACTGGATCTTGTGTTCAGGCATTTCAGAGACAGGAACATAGAAATCTGACACGGCTGCAGCAAGATAAAACATCGCAGATGGGCCTGCAAAGAGAAGCACAGGGTGTAACAAATCGGAAAGGTGTATAGGATCAGATCCTGTGCACCTCAGGTTCCCCCTGCTGTGAGACCTGTGGGTGATGAGGGTGTAGAAGGGGTGTCTGGGGAGAAAGGCACTGCCTCCCGGGAACCGATGAATTCCTAAGGCACGCACCTAGCGGATTGAGCGCCTGGGCCGCAGCCTGCAGCAGATGCAAATAGTCCGCCAAAGTAGTGAACTCTACGGCCAGGAAGGTACCGGCAGCCGCAGCTTCCTGGTAGCGCCTCAGAGCCGCCGCGAAGCCCGGGAGCGCCTTCTCCTCGACCTCCAGGCTCAGGAAGCCCGGAGCGGCGGGGCTGGCGGGCCGCAGAGCTGACAGCCAGGTCTGGGGCGGGAAGCGGTGGGCAAAGGGGAAGGCGGAGCGAGCGCGGTGTAGGAACAGGACGCCGTAGCCCGC